TCATGAAAAATAATAAAGTTATTATAGTAGCAAGTTGGCCTCCTAAACAAGGGGTGATGTACGTGCAAATAATTGTACATCCAAATGAAAAACAATATTGTTATACAAAAATACAATCGCCCTCACAGTAATAGCTTCGAGGGGAACGATGGAGGTAGACATTCCCTGAAGACTTCCTTGTGAACTCCCAAGATTGCATCTCGTGATCTTGTGCTGATAAATCAACTCGGAAACGAAAAAGGGACGTAAAATTGCACTAGCTAAACTACTTTGCATCGGTTTTCCTCCATAATACTTTGCAGCTCCTTTTGCCCTGCTTTTATTAGGCTTTTCACAGTGTCAAAGGTAGTCAGTCTAATGCTGCAAAAGATGACATGAGAAAATGAGACAACAAATAAAGTAGAAAATAACAATAAAGCACCAAGGATTGTGTAACACCGCAGACACTTAGTTGATGATATAGATTAACTGACTTAAGTAAATCAGAAGTTTGGCAGATTTAGATAAAACACACCTGCTATTTGGCAGGTTCTTCAGTGCATTGGGCACAAAACCTCTATAAAAGCCAATAAAACCATCACGTTCCAAAATACCTGCATATAAATGATAAAGAGAATCACGACATGTTTAAGCCCGCTTGAATCATAAAAACATGCTACCAAAAAGTTTCTTGCTTATCCTCCGTAGTTAATGTGAACTAGAAGATGAGTTCCTTTCTAATTACTACTACCATCACATTCCAAAATACATGCATATAATTGATAAAGAGGATCACGACACGTTTAAGCCAGCTTGAATTATAAAAACATGCTACAAAAAGTTTCTTGCTTATCCTTGATAGTTAATGAGAACTAGAAGATGAGTTCCTTTCTAATTACTAATTATCTCTAACCTCTAGAAGTAAAGGACGAGGCACTCAATAATAATTGGCATAGGGTGTTTAAATAAGCTTCCTGGTTGTTAGCAGAAAAACGTCTGTTCAGGGCCTCATATTTGGTGGTCAAAGGGAGTCAATTTCCAATTTCACATTTCAAAGATGAATGGTGACACCCATATAATGCTAGCTATATGAGAATCTTCACCTCGACAGAGCAGATGCAGACTACAGGTGATGGAGAGAAGGATACCATGGAAATTATTGTTGTGGTTATGACAGAGATTTAAATGTGAAGAGGCCATTTGTATTAAACCTCCAAGTTTAAAAGTTCTAAGCTCTTATTGTCAGTTCCTTCTGTCCAATTGTGTAGATTTAAGATATGTAAGAGTTGTTCAAAAGCAAATAAGATGATGGTCCCCATCTAAATTTTCAACTTAAACAAGATGGTTCAAGTGCTACTATTGAAGAGGGGAATGAGCCTCTCAGGTTCTGCACAATCCGAAAGACTTTAAGGAAGACGGATGCAAGATCATCATTAGGCTCAATCCAATAATCCAAGCAAATTTTAGTAGTGTCACCAACTCCTACATTGAGTTTGATACCAAATTTGGGAAGACTTCTTAGCTTTGAGAACGCTCATCCAAAATGAGACACGTGATCAATGATAGCGCCAGACGCATCCCAGATATGATGCCTTCTACGGTGGTTGTTTTGCACAAGTTTGGTTCATGGATCATCAACAGCAATAACTCAATAAGAGATCTCCAACTCAGGCATTATTTGGAGATGGGTGAGATATGTGTCTCAAAACTGATATGGGCTAAAATGTTTCAGTTTTAGAGGATACTTGCATTTCTTTATATTAAGCATAACGGTATGATTTATTTAAACTTACGAACCTTTTCTTTAAGTTAAGATAAAAATAAGACAGATCCTAATATCTTAGTTAACTAGCAGCCATCATTAATACGTCTGCAATAGATAAAGGTTGGATCAGTTAATTTTTGTGATTTTAAACAAGTCAATAAAAACTAAGTTCTAGTACAGAGTATGAAGCGCCTAGCCATGTCTCTCCAGCAATAGCATGTACAAGTATGGAATGAAAAACTGGTGAAGAGTGAACAAAGATAGTGTAACTTGTGTTTATGGCTAAGACACTGTTATCCTCTATTATCTCATCTCCTGCTCAATTTTCTCCATTTGTCGACCAAGTTTTGGCATCTGAGAGAAACAAGGCCAATATTGAAATATTTTGAAAGAAAAATGGCTAAAATGTAGACTAAACAAGTCATTTATTTCCATCAATTATCCACAGACAGTCTAGAAGAGTAAATTCTAGAACGATGGAGGTCCCTCTTTATCAGGTAGCAGCTCAACCAGGAATCCGTCTTTATTCTCAACTCCACATAAATATAGGACAGTTTTTTACAATCTTTTATACTGCATAAATCTTTCATTTTTCTAGAAATTCCCAAGTTTATTTCATGCTATAAGATTACTACACATGTAATATGGACCGCAAAGATATATCAAGCAAGCCAAAAAGTTGTACATTATGTTTTTGATTGATGAGACCACTTGGCCAGATATAACAGGAAAAGGTAATCTTGTTGTAACCAAGCACCTAAATTTCAAACCAAGCGCTGGATGCAAGTTTGTAAAGGTGTCATGGTAAAAGATGTTTGTAGGATACATAATGACAAAGCCATCAACAGGACTTTATGCTAGATTTTGATAAATAAGTAATAAAGAAATTGTGACCTGGAAGGAAAACTACCATTAAAGTACTATGTGTACCCATTCAAGTGATCCTACAGGTACCAAGTTGCTGCAGATTATCTTTTACCTGGAAAAGCATCGAAAACAGTGTTATAAGGCGAGCCTTTCATTTGCATTTGTCTTCTTACTGTATCCAGAGGATAGCATGTAAGCGTAGCAAGTGTTGCTGATATCAAGGCAGTTGCTAGGGATGACTCTGTCCTCCTTTGGTACTTCTCTGGGAGGGATTTCTTCACTCTATAACATCACATAAAATAGCAAACTGTAAACCTAACTGAAAACCGAAATTGCATTTCAATAAATTAATAAAAATGAATTATCAAAAGAGAACAAGGAAACATTAAAGAATTTGTAAAAGTAATCCTTACAAGTCAAAAATGCAAAAGTTCACAGCAATGTAAGGTGCTATTCCAAGCAGGGACGGACCAAGACCATTATAAAAAGAAGCCATTCCTTCTTCTCTTAGCATATTCAGTGCAACCTGGGACATTGTTGAGCATCCAGGTTCCACGGCAAGCCTCAATCGCAGGACATCTAGAGGATATGTTACCTATGAAGAGTTTGATTTCAATTAATCATATTGTATGTATGTACGTATCCCTGTGTGCACGTAAATATTTGGACACACTTACAAAGGTAGAGGTCATCCCAGCACAAGCTCCTGCCGCAAGTCTCCCAACAACAGAAAGTTCACCATCTTTTTTTCTGAAAAGTTTCTATGAAAAGCCCACTTTTCAAATATCATGATGCCAAAACAGGAAAAATTCACATCACAACACAACACAAGTAGACAGATTTCATTAACCAAATGACCCCGCATTACCTTGTAGACTTCATAAGAAAAAAGTTGCACAGCACTATACGGAATTATTCGAATCACCTGAGATTATTTCACAAACATGCTAAGACCCTATTAGCATAAAAGAGGGGAGAAGACATAATAATACTCCATGAGCTTACATAACGGCAGGAGTCAAGATACCTGTGGAAGGTTTCCTTTCCAGTAGCCCTTAATACCTTCCTCCGCTCTTATTAATGTAATAGCCTGTATATTTGTACAACAAATCTAAGCATGTAAATGCTAAGATGCAACCCGATTATCTCAAGTTCAGTGACACATATTTCTTCACCTTAACAAATAGTATTATAACAATCAAAATCTGGATAAAGAATAAGAACTTGTGCATTACTTTCCTATTAAAGAAACTCAGAAGTATATTAATTAGAAAGATGCATCAACTTAGGACGAAAGTTTTAACACATGGACTAATATACAAAGAGACAGATTACTTCAGCCGAAAAAGCAAATAAACCATCTGGGAGACCTTGTTATATCTGATTGGTTAAAAAGCTCACACCAAGATGTGTTTTATCTAGTATTGCACTGCTCGAAAAATCATTCTACCAAGAATCCAATATATTATGAGGATCATCAAAATTCTACAAGTTGGTATAAGTGAAATCCTAGTCTAGACGGAAAACGCTTTATACCAAATAGACGGGGTTTGCTACATGCAATAATTTAACAATTGTTAGCTTATGGCGGCTTCCGACTTTTATGATAAAAATAATTTGGGTAGAACGGTAATTTTTTTGTCAAAACTAGCTTAGTTGGGTAAGCTCATAAGCTAGTTTTTCCAAAAGCTGATGCATATTAGTTGTTGAAAATGGGACTTATAAGCGATCTTACATGGTATTCTTGTTGGATCCTTAATCCAACATTGGGCTAATATGTAAAATTGTTACCCATTGTAAACTGTTAAATAAAGATAAACTCAATTTAAAGTGATCTAGACAGATTTGAGTTTAAAAATGTATCAGATAAGGATGTGGGCCTTTAATGTGTAGATACCGGGGTAATTTCTATTTTAACAATGGGCTAAAATAGAAAATACAAATTGGATAATTGTTTTGAGTTATCTCTATAAATAGTGGTTATGGTCCCCAGATCACACATTCAATTCATCTATATCTTTTGATATCTCATCATCAAAGAGAGAGTAGAGAGATATACAGAAACTGAATGGAACTCTCTTGAAGAAACGTGCAGATCTGGAAGGCTATACCGCACAAATCAAGAGATTATTCATGACTTTGGATTCAGGTATGCTTCCGCGCAATTTAGTATTTCGATTCTCTTTAATTCAACATGTATATTGTGTTATATGTGATAGTTTTCACAATCAGAATTTAGGATTTAACAATTGGTATCAGAGATGTCTTGTTAAATTATTATAGAATCAATTAATTTTGATCTCAAAGGAAATCTTTAAGGTGTTCTTAAATTTAATAATCAATTAATTTTTATGGTGATTTAAATCCCAATAAAGAAATTTACGTGGATATTTGTTCATGTTTATATAAGATTCTAATCGGATTAATTAAGAAATTAAAAGACTCGATTTGATTTTTTAGGGAGTTTAAATTCGGATTTATTAATTGATTCATCTTTTGTGTTTTTTGAGAGATATATACAAATTAATTGTGTAAAAGGATTTAAAAAAAATTAATATATATTGGTTGGCCGGCGATCGCTGGACCCACCGGTAGCCAGTAGGTGATAGCAGCGACCATGGCGACCCACCAGCAGGTGATGCCAGCGATCGTGACGGCCGCTGCCACTAGAAAACCCTAGGGCGAAGCCCTAGGGTGCAACAAAGGAGCTTCAGTACACAGGCCTATGATCAGTTACTAAACAAAAAAAAACATATTATTATGTAAGCATGTGATCAGTTCAATTTTGGATGCTCCTTTTGGTAGAATTTTGGGTACAATTTTAAATTCAAATATTAAAAAAATCATGTATGTATTTTAAAATTAATTGAATGAAACGATATGTCGCCAAAGTGACCTTTATTGTGGAGATTAATTAATTTTAAAACATAAAAGGTTATGTGTGTAAGTCGTTTAAATATTAATTGGCCTAAAGGAAGATTGATGCTTAAATAATTACATTTGCACCTGTGGTAATAAACACGTGATGATTATTGGGTATATATGTGAATAATAAATCGGCCCGAAGGAAGATCTATTATTTGACATGTTATTATTATCAGTGTTTGATTACTATAACAAGACACCACTAACTAATTAATATTTTGTCCAAAGATGGAATATTGATGTAGTGCCCGGTATCTTGAGATGGGATTTACCTTTATTTGAATTTATTATTATGATTTTATGGATTTTAAGACTAATGTGAGCCTGTTTTATTTGTTTGTTTACTCTCTGTTCAACTATGATTCATGCTAATATTACTGCTAATATCAATTCCATTCTTATGCTAAATGGTTTCAACTTCAAGTCGTGGAGCGAGAACCTTTTGATAGTTCTCGGGGTCATGGATATCGACCTTACGATAAGGACTGGTTCTCCTCTACCACTTACAGATAAGAGTACCTCTGATGAAAAGAGGGAGATGAAAAAGTGGGAGAGATCAAATCACATGTGTATGATGATCATGAAGAAGGTCATTTCAGAAGCATTCAGGGGCACCATGTCTGATCAGATCACTACAGCTAAGGACTTGCTTACAGATATTGAAAAGAAATTTGTCAAGAACGAAAAGACTGAAATTGGTACGCTCTTAACAAATCTTATTTTAATAAAGTATAAAGGTAAAGGTAACATTCCCACAGGTGTTATTAGTCTTGATCAGGTTTTCATTCCTGAAATCTGATCAAGATCAAGACACAATAGGTCAAGATAATGTTGGATAACCTCCCGCTCAGATAACTGTTCCTGAAGAACAAACTCTACCATCTCAAGAACCTATGTCATTAAGAAGATCCACTAGAGAACGAAGAAGTGCAGTGTCAGATGATTACATTGTATTTCTTCAAGAACATGAGGCTGACATTGGGGCGATGGAAGATGATCCGATCACCTTCCGTCAAGTCATGAAAAGTTTTAATTCTCAAAAGTGGATTGATGCTATGCATGAGGAGATTAAATCAATGAAGGACAATGACATATGGGATCTTGTCTCATTGTCAGAAGGTGCGAAACTCATTGGTTACAAATGGATATTTAAGACCAAGAGGGATTCAAGAGACAATGTGGAAAGATATAAAACTCGTCTTGTCGCAAAGGGATTTACACAAAAAGAAGACATCGATTATAAAGAGACTTTCTATCCGATTTCTTCAAAAGACTCTTTCAGGACTATAATGACATTGGTAGTGCATTTCGATCTTGAGTTACATCGGATGGATGTAAAGACAGCGTTTCTAAATGGTGACATTGAAAAAACGATTTATATGGTGCAATCAGATAACTTTTTGTCGGGAGACCCAAAGAATATGGTTTGCAAACTTAAGAAATCCATCTATGGGCTCAAGCAATCATCTCGATAATGGTATTTTAAGTTTCATTAAGTGATCATCTCGTTCGGTTTTGAGATGAATTTGGTTGATGATTGTGTATGCCAAAGGTTCTATGGGAGCAAGTATATTTTTCTAATTTTATATGGCGATGACATTTTGCTTGCCAGCAACGATATAGGTTTACTGCACGAAACTAAGAAATTTCTAGCTGAGAACTTTGAGATGAAAGATCTTGATGATGCCTCTTTTGTGTTAGGGATTCAGATACATCGGGATCACTCTCGGGTTGTTCCTGGATTATCACAAAAGAGCTATATCAAAAAAGTTCTCAAAAGATATGACATGCAGATTGCAAACCAGATGATACTTCTGTGGCTAAAAAAGACAAGTTTAGTCTCAAACAATGCCCTAAAATGCTTATGAGGAAAAGAAAATGCAGAAGATCCTCTATTCATTGACAGTAGGGAGTCTAATGTATGCTCAGGTATGTACATGTCCGGATATTGTGTACATTATAGGGATATTGGGCAGATACTTGAGCAATCCAGGTTTAGACCATTAGAAAGCAGCCAAACGGGTCTTGCGGTACTTATAGAGAACAAATGATTACATGCTCACATATCAGAGGTTGGATAAGCTTGAGGTCATTGGGTATACTGACTCCGATTTTGCTAGGTGTCAAGATAATATGAAGTCTACATCATGCTACATATATCTGCTCGCTGGAGGTAAGAGTGTGAAACAGTCTCTAGTAGCCTCTTCGACTATGAAAGTAGAGTTTGTAGCATGTTATAAGACATCCAATCAGGGGATATGGCTGCGAAATTTTGTCATGAGGCTACGCATAGGGGACGGTGTTGATAGACCACTCAAGTTATATTGTGACAATAAATCAGCAGTTTTGTATTCCAATAACAACAGGAACTCGACGAAGTCGAAGCATATAGACATCAAGTTTCTGGTTGTTAAAGAAAGTTTAGAGTGGATAATTATCTATAGAGCACATCGGGACAAACTCCATGATTATGAATCCGCTTACTAAGGGATTGTCATCCAAAGTGTTTTATGAGCACACTGCTCATATGAGTGTCATGTCATTTGAGGATATTCAGTTTTAGTGGGAGTTTGTATTTTTTATGTGTTCTAATTGTAGGCATCGAAAATTGCCTATAGGTCTCCACGAACAGCTCAGTGCTAAGAAACGACGATGAACGTCACTATCCGGTTCACAGAAGTTTGATTGATGTCGGTGAATGCTTTAAGTGAATCGACGAACTACGCAAACAAACTGACGACCATAGTGGGAGACAACAGCCTCGCTGCCGAAGCTGTCGTGCCGCAGCCGACGATCAAGATCCCGGTGTTCGAAGAGGTCGAGTACGAATTCGACCAGCAAAAATTTGAAGAGTACATCTTCTCCTCCTACAGATCTGCTCCTCCTCATAAGCGCAGGAAGATCTCCTCCTCCTAGAAGATCCGTCGCTTTCCAGATCTGAAGACCCAAGAAGTCAATCTCCACGCCGTCGCTACTACAGTTGCACCTTGCAACGATCCGCCGGCATCCGATGAGACCAGATCTGTAGATCTAAACTCCTTCGCGATCAAGGAGCCGATTGCTGAAGGCGTGCCAACCTTATCAAAGAGAGCACGTCAAAGGAAACGCCAACGCCTCGCGCGCCAATTTGCCAAGGTTTTGGATCAGGTGGATGGACTCTATTAC